TTATTCTTCTCTCTCTCTCTCTCTCTCCTTCTTTTGTCAGCGGTAAATCGCATAAATTGGGATCGGTTGAGAACGATAGTATCGCAAACTTAACGAAACTTCCGAAATTTCGAAAGGAGATAAAATTTTACCCGGCTTTTGTACAATTTTGCTCGACAAATATTGTTAGAACGATGAAAAATTCACCGGCAATAAATTTCAATTACGCGAAACAAAGTTGAGCGCAACAATTTAAACGTCTATTTAGCGAAAGCGGCCTTCCTTCGTATCGCGTACACGCAGGCGGCAATCTTTTCCAAGCATTTCGTTTCCAACAATATCTCGTAAAGTTGATAAAAAATCGACGATCCTCGAGGAAGGAAAAGAAAGAAAAAAGAAAAGAGAAGCGTTTCAACTGCTTGTTGTTTAAAAAGCAAGGGAAGCACGAATTTGGCAAAGAAAGAAGGAGCGGAAAGGAATTATCACATGAGAGAAATGTACTCACTCGGATCCTTGACGGCGGTGATAACGAGGCGGAAGCCGTTCGAGAGGGTGCCCCACGAGTCGGTGACGTATTTCAGTGTCACGAAGTTCGTGCGCGTATAAATCGCGCCCACGGTCTGCTTCGTGTTCTGGCAGGACAGGTCTGCCTGGAAAACAAAAGAAACGCCGCTCGTTCAATGCGACAGTCTTCACGTATATATATATATATATATATATACGTGCACGTACACGCGGAGGAAGAAGAACAGCCTCGTTCTCGTTTCCACGGTTGTTGGAACGCTATTGGACAAGTGGAGGACGGCCACGTGACAAACCGACTCGAACCTGTCGTGTTCGAGCGATCTGTAAACCACGTAGACAATCGCGAGATTAACGCGGCTCTCGAGGCGAGCAATTGTTCTCGTTTCCTTGGACCGGACGTGGTTTTTCTCGTGCATACGCGTCGTCGTGGTGAAAAGTGAAAAAGGATCGGTAATTGCTCGAGTCGAAGGTACGTACGGATTTGTATCTTTGTCGCAGACGTTATTTAATTATCGAACAGAAGATTTTTAATCAAATCATCTTCTCGAAAGGTAGAGTAGTTTCTTAAACGATACGTACACTTTAATCCGTCCGCGGAGAATTTCTTAAAGATCTTAAACCGAAGCTGTATAAGTAAGAGGATAAGCAGCTGGTAGTTGGCCGGCTAATGTAACTCGACTTTCGTGATTCCAAGTTCCGGTTCATTACCGGCCAACACGAAGTGTAAACAAACTTTTAAGTTCGAAACCAAGTTGAAATTGCGTGGATGTTTTATACATGCAGAGGAAACGTGAACAGTTTTTGCGTTTGGCTAACTCTTCTCAACCTTCGTTACAAATTTACCACTCGTAATGATACAGATAGTTTTTGACGAAGGAATCAACACTCATCGCCATCTACCGTCCGAGCGTTGATGTACTCGTAACGCGGATTACCCGTAACATTTGTGCAATATTTGATCGACAAATATATCACCAATCATATCGTACCTATTACGTATATTTATCCAGAAAATAAAATCTTATTTATCATTATATACGGTGTTTCAACAACGTGCGTAATCATTTTTCAATATCGAAAAAATTACGAGAAAAAATACGGTCTTTAATTTTTCTTCAATTAAAACTGTTCCAAATTAAAAAAAAAAAAAAAAGAAAATCTATCGAACAAGTTTCGATAGCTCGATAATATTTTATTTCACTCGACAATCGACCGAGTTTGAATCGATTCGTATCGTTAAGGATGATTTATATCGAGAACGCGTTTGAAAATTCAGCGGATTGGAAAAAGGATATCGCGGGTTCCCGATACACCCGCAATTAATCCGTCGAACAATCACGGTTGTTCGATCCAACAGCGGGGAAAGGCGATCCTCACGGGAATTCGCGAAACGGTGTTGCACGAAACGACCCTCCCTCCCCCGAGTTAATTAATTAACCGGACGAAGAATTATCCTGGCACGGTGATCTCATTTGTTTGCCTCAAGACATAATCCGTCCAACACTTGTTGCGTCTTACGATTTAACGAGGAAACCCGGAAACAGCCGGTGCGCAACCGAAGAGGAGAGGGAAAAAAAGAGCGAGAGAGAGTTAGTTCGGGGAAAATAGTTAACCCTTTCTGAGAACAAGTCTAGTGGCTAAGTTTCTCTATTGAAACGGTTGTTTGAGCCTCGAACGGTTGAGAGTTTCTTCTTGCGAAAAGAACGTTGTTGTTGTTGTTGTTGTCGTTGTTGTTGTCAGAGTTCGAGTCAGATCGATAAGAGAATTGTACCGTGGATAATTGGATGTAAGAAGCGAGCGTTGGTGTAAAAGTGTACTTGACGTTACGAAAAGTAAGTTGGAGTAGTATTTACAACAAAGAAAGGTGTAATTATAATTTTTTTTAAACAGAATTTATGACAAAAGTATTGCAATCTTTACGACATTTCGTGACCCCCCCCATTTTCTTTATAAATTTATGGAAAAATTTATGGTCGATGCACGATAAATTTTACCACGTGACGGAATTAAATTCCATCCATGGAGATATATATATATATATATATATATATACAAAATGTGAAGGGATATTTGTCATGTGACTGTGTGTACATTTTAAAATCGATGGGAACTCGGCACATGGAAAGATAAACTTGTCTCGTTTAAAGATACGGCTCATCGTTTAATGACATTTAATTTTTAAAAATTACAATACGTAAATAATTTTTAAGATAAATAACGAATAACGCAGACCCTCCGATCGTATTATTTCTATTTCCGTTTATACCAATTCCCCTCTCAATTGTTATCGCTCTTCTGTATTTCACTCGCGCTCCCATTTTTCATTTCGCGCTCGTACACACCTACACAACTTCCCTCTTCATCTCTTTCATTTCGGAACAAAGTACGCGGTAATCTGGAACGATTTTTACGTGTGTACACACACACACACACACACACACAGAATAGAATAAAATTTCTTTCGCTATTAACTCTTCGTTTCGTACGTGGTTCAATCATCATTCGAATTTCGACAGAGAGTTATTGTTATTAATTAAGCTATCAAAAATTCTTATATTTCAAAAAATAACGATAATAACAACAATAATACCAACGATTAAATTAATTGAAGAAAAACCATTCGTTCGCAAATTTCACCGAATTAAACAGTGGAGGAACACTCGCGGATACAAATAGGATGGCTAGAAAAGCGGGGCACTGAAAGGGTTAAGGGTCGTCGCGCTAATAATTTGCCGGGTGTTTCCTTCGTGCTGCTTCGTTATCGCGAAATATTGTTACCGTCCGGCGGTAACGATAACTGTCTTCTTTCTGGCCCAATTAGCGCGGACGAACGGTCGGCCGAACGTGCGTCAGATAATCCACATTTAATTATCTCCGGTGGCGGGATCGTTTCGAGACGACGCGGGGATAAACAGGCTGCCCTCCTCCTCCTCCCCCGTGTAACCGAAATAATTAAAATTCGAGCGCACATGTACGCGGCGCGGCGGTGTATCGGTGCGAATCGGGACAGATTTTCGCGGATAAAGTGATTTTAATTGGGAATATTATTACGTAATATTTCTCTCGAGCCGTCCCCCAAGCCTGAAAAATTGAGCGCACGTTTTATTTATTATTTAAAATATTTTGTATCACGTCCCCGATCTTTCGCCCTTTTCGCTTTCGTACTTATAAACTCGGCAATAACGAGGTTGATGAAATTGTTATTGTTGTTGTATTGATATTGTTCTATCACGGCTCGTGAGAATTATTAATTACAAACACGTATAGGGAGAATGTGTGTGTGTGTGTTGATATTGATTTATTTGTAAATGAGATTGTATTTATCGATAGAAAATGATGATTGAAAGAACAAGCGTAAAGTTCAAAGTATAAATATAAATGAATGTAAGGAAAATAATGATGCATCGAGGCTACGAGGAAATGCTAAATCATGATGGATCGTGATAAACTATAAATTTTGTCGTCAAAATCTACTGGGAATATAGACGGAAGCATGCGGTTGAAATTACTTTTCGATTCGTCCCGATATCTCGATCGGTCGACGAGATACGAGGATGCAAAGTTCTCAGAAGAGAAGTTATGAATGGGCCCGCGGCTCGCTGACCTACATTTATTTTTGGAAACGCGTACTACATCCTTCCAGGAATCGCTATTATGTTTTTTTCGCGTCCGTCACTTGTCTCGAGTTTGAGATAGGTCGGCGAGACGAGGCGCGAGCGAGAGATCCGAATAGGGACGAGGAGGGAAATAATAAACGATTAAAATTACCTTTTCCTTTACACGACGATATCTCGGCAACCAAAAGTCGTATCGAAATGAATCAAAAAGCGTTTTAAAGGGTGAGGTTCCGCGCTCCTAATCATCGTTCACTCGTTCACCGGAAGTCGATATCTTGGGAGTTACAGCGGTCCAAAGTTTTCTTAATTTTAATAGAGCCGATCGGGTTTAAAGTAAACGATCAAAAATATCCTTTTCTTTACAAGAAGATATCTCGGCAACCAAAAGTTGTATCGAAATGAATCAAAAAGCGTTTTAAAGGGTGAGGTTCCGCGCTTCTAATCATCGTTCACTCGTTCACCGGAAGTCGATATCTTGGGAGTTACAGCGGTCCAAAGTTTTCCTAATTTTAATACGGTTTAACAAAGTTGAAGAACGATAGCATTTATTTCTGGAAGTATACCGCTTGAAATGATCTTACCAGTGATAAATTGATCCGAAAGTTATCTTAATTTGAAAAAAGTTTGAGTTTCCAACTATATTAATCAATCGAAGGGAGATTTATCATCGCGTGAAAAAAAAAAAGAAATTCCGCTTCGGACTTCAACTTCAGAGTTCAACAGTTTTATTCAATTTACAAAAATTTTCATCGCAGCTGCCCGATAAATCACCGGTGAATGCCCATTCATCCGAAAGAAACATACGCAAACATATTTTTCATATCCCACGCCATATATACGGTTCACGATGGTTCGAGAAGAATCATGCGTTTTAGAGCAATGGTCAATGATCACCAATTTTCCGAGGCTCGCACAAATGGAAAATTGCGTCAATCGTCGATAAAAAAAACCCTGTTATCATTGTCAATGACCCCGCTCTGTCATGGAGTTGCGCCTGCTACGTTCTCACCACCGTGGAAAGCAATAAAAATATTGCCCTCCTCTTCCCAAGTATTCCAACACGAAATTACCGCGAAAAACTTTGTTCGTTGCAAGTCGAGACACTTTCACAAGTCCTATCGTAACCCAAACAAGGGAGGAAGAATTTTCTATGAGACTTGTTGTTACGAACGATACGTGATGTACTCCTATTTTTCCCTTCGTTTCCCTTTCTTTCTTTGTTTTAATCGATCAGACACGAGAGAAAATTCGTGTAAACATCAGCGTTCAAACCGTTGCACAGATATCTTTCGACACATTTTTTCAAGCCTGTCCCCAAGCCTACTCCGTAAAAGCGGAGAATTATCGGTGTTGGCAGCCGAGGTCATATTTTGCCTCGGTTAATATCGCGCCACGTGGCGATATAAACCACCCTTAAAGATATACGCGCATCCACGTCGGTATTTAATATTGAATCGCGGGGGCGATTACCTTTCGCGGGCTGTTTCTCAGCCGGATAGACAGCCGGG